AGCTTTCTCACGATGAATCCCAGCAAAGTGGGTCCATGCTTCACCATCAGATGGATGTACCATCTTCTCAGGACTGTATCGAGTGCCATTTTTATGCCATGTCATCTGTTTCGCGGTTTCCTCGGTCATGTATAGCCGTTGGATCCTCGGTAAGAATGGAAGGTACCGTAGGATCTTCACGGGGATCTCAAGCTGTCTCTTCTGACCATCACTAGACTCTACCTCCAGGTACCTAGAGGATTGACACTTTGGACATTACTTTGCTTTCTCGTGTTCTTTCCTAAATAGGACGCACCCCTTTGGACAAGCATGTATCTGCTCATATGGCATCTTGAGTGCACGAAGGAGTTTCTACGACTCGTACATGCTCTTTGGCATAATGTGAGCTTCTGGAAGCAAGCTGCCAATAACTGCCAACGTAGCATCGTAACAATCTCGACTCAAGCTAAACTAAGCCTTTAAGGCCATTACCCATCCAATGGCATCCAGTTGAGAAACCTTTGTGTGGCCATGAAGGGGTTTATGTGCCGTAGACAACATGTCATAATACGCCTTTGCGGTTGCCTCTGGCTCCTCCTCCCCACCTTCTTCACCTATGTGTGCTTCGTGAAAGTCATTTAGCCAGTCACCTACCCCGCATCAGCATCGAAATCTTCGACGCGTGCTCTCACGACCTCCTCTCTCATCCAATCGGTTTCACCATGGTAGATCCACCGAGTATAATCTGCCGTGAATCCATTCTTGCAAAGATGAGTAGACATGACATCCTTTGGTTGCCGACGCCTGTTTGCACATCTACTGCACGGACACCAAATGGCTGAAGCTCCTGGAACTAGGGCAAATGCTCTATCTATGAAAGCCTCCGTCTTCTCAATCCATTCATCAGTTAAAGCACGCTGACTTGGGCGGCCCGTGTACATCCACTCACGGTCATCCATCCTCTGACACACACACACACACACACACACACACACACACACACATATATATATATATATATATATATATATATATATATATATATATATATATATATATATATATATATATATATATATATATATATATATATATATATATATATATATATATATATATATATACCATGAGACATTAAGAATCAATTGCATGTACACGATGTTCCTACCATCTAATAGGTCAGGATAGGTCCTAATCCCACCCGAGTATGCGTAGCTGGGGTTAGTCTCCATAGTCTACTCCGATCCGAGATAGAATTTCGACAGCACCTCCCCGTTGTTCTCCAAATACACGTCCCGGTAGGGAGATTGTGTATCCGGAGAACAACAGGGAGATGCTGCCAAAACTTTGCCTCGGAACGGACTAACCCCATCTACGCATCCTAGGGCTGTCCAAAAAACGTGGACAATTCGAAACAGATACGGTTATCGATATGCAAAGAGCTGCACATTTCCAACCGTATCTCTTTCGAACGGGAGACGCCTAACCGGGTTACGTGCTCTACAAACATGCATGATACGGAAAAGAGGGGTGTTTTATGCCTCACCTCGCTGTCCCGCAAACAGGAGAAGCTTCAACCGCTACAAGGTCCACGGAACACCAACAAACAGCCAGAAGCCTCAGTCCTCCCTAAAAGAATAAGTCATTTCACACGAGTAAGTAATTACCTTTATATCACCATAAACAAAGTAAAAAGAAACAAGATAATGGATACATGAGGTCAGTAAGAAAGACACTTATGAAGCAGTGAATTTGTGATGGAGTAAAATCTATTGCAAAAGGCTATGGGCAGCAATACACTTGATCAGTAAGAAAATTTGCATGTATAAACCTACATGCATATTGACGAAGTTACTAAGAAAGCCATTAATTACACTTGATCAGTAAGCAAATTTGCATGTAAAAAAACAAATAACAATCCCTTTAACCCTTCAAAAGTAAAGAAAACAATGTGATGATGTACATAACCCCAAACAAAAACATCAGTGCCGCCGCCGAGGTCGATCGGCACTTAATTATACAGACGATAATGACTGATTAGACTCCACGCCGTCCACGTGTGGTGTCCGCAGGATCGAGAGACACTCGTTGTCGACGTAGTCGTACCTTGCCATAAATGCCCATGGCAATCGAGAGCGACATCTAGGTGTTCCTGGATCGGTGACTGGCACACACGGCACAACGCAGCAACGTCAACTGATGGAGCCGCATTTCGATCACATCCATCGGCAATTCGACAAATTTACTAGAAATTACAACTGTATTATTAGCTACTAGTGTGCTGCACTGCAAATCAACACGACTGTTCGTCCCCTTTGGCCTTTTTAAGCTACTAGTACGTTGCGCGCGCCCTTGCGCGCGTGGCCAAGTGGATGGTCGATGCTGCTATGAAATATACATGCTAAATAAATAGATTGCAAGAGGATTAATTAAGACCAGGGTGGATAACAATCACATAAATTTAGTAACTTGCCTACATCATGGAACAGGGTGGCAGTCTGGACATAGACTAACATTGGACTAAAATTGGATGGGCACAGTGATTTTGGACAATGGGTTTCGTCATTAGTAGTAGCAATGTAAAAGAGGACTGGTACGCCAGAAGAAAGGCATCAATGTATCTAAATCAAGCTATAGCCCTACTAGAGAATGATGAATCATCAGGTTGCAGTTGCAGACATCTAAAGCTATATCAGTATAGCATGCATAGCATGGAGCCATGGACTGAGTTTGGACTCTCGAAAGAAATTACATACATCGCACAAGGAGGAGGCAACTTAACACTTATCCAACATTTATATATATTATTTGTGTCTGGTTCCTGAATCCTGAACATTTGCATACTGCATATATATCACCCTTGTGCACATATACGTACCTAGATGGGGTTGTGGCGAGCTGGTGCCTGTCGGCGTCGGGCAGGTGGCCGGCCGGTGTCAGGCAGCAGGCGGGCGGCGTTGACCAGGCAGCCCACGGTGGGCGGGCACCGGCGGCGGGCGGGCGGCAGGCGAAGCGCAGGGCTGCCGGCGTCGAGCAAGGGGCTCCCTGCGGGCGGGCACCGAGGTGGCGCAGGTCTCGGCTGGGGCAGGCAAAGGGGTCGTGCTCGCGCTCGGTTTCACAAGGGGGGACAGGGCGTGGGCCAACCGGGTGGCTGTGGCGGACCGCCGGGCGGGGTGGAGGTCGGCGACGGAGGCAGGCAAAGGGGTGGGAGGAGGGGCCATGGAGTGGGGAGGGGGGGGGCGGCGGAGGGGTTGCGGTGGAGGGCGTGCGGTCGGTGGCGCGTGGGGAGGGAGCTCGACGGCGGCGGGCGTGGGGAGCACGATGGAGTGGGGAGGGAGGAGGGCGCGTGGGGGGGGGAGCTCGACGGCGGCGCGAGGGGAGGGAGGTCGACGGCGGCGCGTGCGCACGGAGGAGGGAGCGCGCGTGCGCAGGGATAGAATGGAGAAATGGCCAGAGCCGGCCAGCAGCCTAGCTATTTTGCGGCCTGTTTGCCGAGTGTCGGCCCGATCCGACACTCGGCAACGTTTTTAAAAAAATCCCATCAGTTTGCCGAGTGTCGGCCGATGGCGCACTCGGTAAACTACTTAAAAAAACCTAAACGCCTAATTGCCGAGTGCCGTGACGATTAGGTACTCGGCAAACATTTTTTTTTAAAAGTGCCCTCCTATTTTCCTTATTTTAAAAAATCACTGTTCTCCCTTAACAAGAAATTTTAAAAAAAGTTTATTACATTGTTGCCGAGTGCCACCTATGCAGCACTCGGCAAACTTATTTCTATATTTCATGCTGCCCTTTTCTTTCCTCTACTTAATTACTTTCCTCTATTTCATGTTTCACTAATTTCATGAAATGAACTTGCATTACACTTTGTTAGGTGCACTCACAAATGTATATTTCAAGCTTGTAAAAAAATTGGACTATTATTTCATGTGTTTGTATATCACGCATCTAAAATTCAATAATTACGACGAAAGAATTAAAATTACGAAATGGCTCCGAAAAATTGCCAAAAATTCACAAGAAGCGATCTTTGTTCTCTATTGTATATACAAAAAATTTTGAAGTGAAACTCCAAATCCACATTCAAATTATCTCCTCATCTTACCGGATCTTTCTCAAATCTTAGAAACTTCTCCGGAGATGATCCGATTTGTCAGCAGCGTACGTGTCAACTTTGCTGAAACACTCTCAATTTTTTACCATAGCCTCCACGTATGATATCATGACAACTCGACGAATTTCGTGATTTTCAGACTTTGTTTGTTTTTTATAGAATTTTCAGACGTTTCCGCCACGCGTTTCTGCTCATGTTTCGCGAACACAATGTTCGAAATTTCTGGTCTGGCCCTGGATACGGTCTCAAAACAGACTCAGTGAATAGAATATCATTTTTTATTCACTTTTTTCGGATATTCGAAGCACTTGTAGTTCAAATCCAAAAAATTACCGAAAATTCATTTGACTAAAATAAATTGACGAAATATAGTAAAATAACTCAGAAATGTACAAAACTTCAACACAGAGCAACAGGTATTGTAAGACAACAGTACAAAAAGTTTGGGGGCAAAATCAAAAAAAAAATTTGTTTGCCGAGTGTCAGATGTTGACACTCGGCATATAACAGCATTTGCCGAGTGTCGCAAGGTGACACTCGGTATAGATGTGGGTTTGCCGAGTGTCGTATTTTGACACTCGGCATATAGGTGGGTTTGCCGTGTGTTAACGTGTGACACTCGGCAAAATGATAACGGAGGTCGACGATGTTACCCGGATATGAAGTTGCCGTGTGTCTATTGTTTGCCGAGTGTAGGCGCTCAGCGTAAACTGTTATGCCGTGAGTTTTGTTGTTGCCGAGTGTCGTCTTTGGGACACTCGGCAAACACCATGTTTGCCGAGTGCCCAAAATCTTGCCCACGGCAAAGATGGGGACACTCGGCAACTTAGGTGTTTCCGGTAGTGCTTCCTTCTTGAGTTCCTGCCTTGCAACCGGTCTGCCAAATCTGAGGCCTCTTCCTAGACCAATGACAGTACGAGTGGCTGATGGGGGCTCTATTCTCTGCTCTGCCGAAGTCAGCAGCGCTGAATGGTCAGTTCAAGGCTACACTTTCCACTCTACTTTGCGCATCCTGCAGTTGGGCTCTTATGACATGATTATCGGTATGGATTGGTTAGAGGCCTTCTCACCCATGAGGGTTGATTGGCAACACAAATGGATGAGCATTCCTTATGGCCAGCACCATGTTGTCCTTCAGGGCCTGTTGCCAGATTCAGTTCAGCCTTCTATCATGCAACTTTGTCACATTGCTGCTGCTGCACCTTCACCAGCCCCTCCTGAGCTTCCTCCAGCCATCCAGCATCTCATTGAAGACTTTTCTGAGCTGATCCAAGAACCATCTGAACTGCCACCTCGCCGTCAATGCGACCATCATATTCCCTTGGTTCCCGGTGCTCCCCCAGTGGCTCTCCATCAATACCGTTACAAGCCGGCGCTCAAGGATGAGATTGAAAAACAAGTTTCAGAGATGCTGCAATCAGGCATGGTACAGCCGAGCTCGAGTGCTTTCTCTTCCCCGGTGCTCTTGGTCCACAAGAAAGATGGTACGTGGCGGTTCTGTGTTGACTACAGGATGCTCAACGCCTTGACTGTCAAGAGTAAATTTCCAATTCCAGTGGTGGATGAGCTGTTGGATGAGTTGGCCCACGCCCGCTGGTTCTCTTGCTTGGATCTCTGGCTGGCTTTAATCAGATTCGTCTGGCACCCGGAGAAGAACATAAAACAGCCTTCCAAACACATTGGGGTCAGTTTGAGTTTACTGTCATGGCCTTTGTGTTGACCGGCGCCCCAAATACCTTCCAAGGCGCTATGAACACCACTCTATACCCCTTGTTGCGTAAGTGTGCTCTGGTTTTCTTCGACGACATTCTTGTGTACAGTCGTACTCTCGAAGACCACATTCAGCACCTTCGCTAGGTTTTTACCCTGTTAGCCAGAGACCAGTGGAAAGTTAAGATCTCCAAATGTCGTTTCGCCCAACAGTCCATTTCATACCTTGGACACATTGTCAGCCATAATGGTGTGTCTACAGACCCCAGCAAGATTGAGTCTATCCAGCAGTGGCCTTCACCACAGAATATCAAAGAGCTCCGTAGCTTCTTGGGGTTAGCCGGCTACTACCATAAGTTTGTGAAGCACTTTGCTACATTGGCCAGACCCCTGACTGATCTTCTCAAGAAGGGCTCTCTATTCATTTGGACTCCATCTCACCAAGCTGCTATGGATGCTTTGAAGTCTGCCCTTGTTTCAGCCCCAGTGCTAGCCCTGCCGGACTTCAGTAAGCCCTTTCAGCTACAGACTGGTGCCAACGACTTGGGTGTGGGCGCAGTCCTGTTACAAGATGGCCACCCACTTGCATTTGTTAGCAAAGCACTTGGCCCCTGAACTAGAGCGCTGTCTACTTATGAAAAGGAGTTCCTGGCAATCCTAGTGGCCGTCGAGCAGTGGCGTTCATATCTCTAGCATAGCGAATTTACCATCTTTACCGACCAACGCAGCCTCATGCACATCACTGATCAGCGCCTGCAAACTCAGTGGCAGCTCAAGATGCATACCAAACTGGCCGGTCTTCAGTACAGGGTAGTCTACAAGCCCGGCACATCCAATTCTGCAGCCGATGCCCTGTCTCGTCATCCCAACCCGCCATCCCAACTCCAACCTCTCTCCATTTCCACACCGGCTTGGCTTGCAGATGTAACCGCAGGTTATGCCTCTGACCCGGAATCTTCCAAGTTGCTCCAGGAACTGTCTGTCAACTCTCACAGTCACCCACCATTCACCTTGCATCATGGAGTCATTCGCTACTCAGGCCGCATCTGGGTTGGCAACAACCATCAACTGCAGCAAAACATTATATCAGCCCTTCATGACAATGCCCTGGGAGGTCATTCCGGGTTTCCAGTCACTTACAGCCGCATTAAGAAGCTATTTTGCTGGCGCGGTATGAAGCAAACCATCAGAGCTTTTGTTGCTGCTTGCTCAGTTTGCCACCAGGCCAAACCAGATCGAGCACGCTACCCGGGTCTCCTCTCGCCTCTTCCAGTCCCTGCTGAAGCTTGGCAAATGATTTCCATGGACTTCATCGATGGCTTACCACCTTCTGGACACGCCAACTGCATCATGGTGGTTGTGGATAAGCTAAGTAAATTCGCACATTTCATTCCATTACATCATCCTTATACAGCCCAGAGAGTAGCACAAGCCTTCCTTGACAACATCTTCAAAATTCATGGCTTGCCTACTCATATTATCTCCGATCGTGATCCCATCTTCACCAGCCAGTTTTGGCGCAAGCTCTTTCATCTTGCCCAGGTGACTTTGGCTATGAGCTCAGCCTACCATCCTCAGTCGGATGGTCAGACCGAACGTGTCAATCAATGTCTAGAAACATACCTCCGGTGTTTTGTTCATTCCTGCCCAAGACAGTGGTTGAAGTGGCTCCCACTCGCCGAATACTGGTACAATACTAGTTCACACTCAGCTCTGGGGAAGTCGCCATTTGAGGTACTGTTCGGTCGATCTCCTCGTCATTTTGGTATTACTGAACTTGCTGCTTCCCCTGTGCCGGACGTCGCCTCCATGCTGGCGGAGCGCACCACCATGCTGGCCTCTGTCCGTCAGTATCTCCTTCGAGCTCAGCAGCGCATGAAGCACCAGGCGGACAAGAAGCGCTCCAAGCATTCGTTCCAGGCTGGCGACTTCGTCTACCTCCGTCTGCAGCCCTACGTGCAGTCGTCGTTGGCGCCGCGCTCCCACCACAAGCTGTGCTTCAAATGCTTTGGCCCCTTCGAGGTGCTGTCCAAGATCGGAGCAGTGGCGTACAAGCTGGAGCTGCCACCGACGTCTTCAATCCACCCGGTGTTCCACGTCTCGCTGTTGAAGCCGGCGTCGTCCGCTGTTCCAGCCGTCTCCGCCAGGCTCCCCGACCTCGACAACAACATGCAAGCCCCGGAGCACGTGCTGTAGTCCAGACTTCATCAACGTGGAACCCACTCCGTCAAGCAGTTGCTGATCAAGTGGTCCGGCCTCGACGACGACCTTGCTACCTGGGAGGACGCCGACGCCATCATGCAGCGCTTCCCTGGTGCTCCGGCATGGGGACATGCCGGCACTCAGGGGAGAGGGATGTCAGCAAACCTCACCCTGGGGACCCATCGGAGGCACCAAGGCCCAAGAGGAAGAGAGTCAGCAACATCAAATTGGCTGGGCCGGAATGGGCCTGCGTATCTTGCAACGAGAAGCTTGAGTCGGCGTAGAGTCCACTTCGTCGGCCCACTGGCTCGAAGCTGAGAAGAGAGAATCGTAGCAAGTATATCTGTTCGGCAGGGAGAGGAAGAGGGATCAGGAAATGAGTTGCTGTATTATCTTTCTAGTAGCGAACTAGTACTTTTATCAATATACATAGTAGATTCTGTAAACTCTTCCCTGAGTCCGGCCGTTCGCTACGGACGAGCCTGACAGGGACAGGCACGATCTTGTCCTGGGGACTGTATGGTTAACCAATGGAATGGCTGAACTTAGCCAGATCCGTTTCAGGGAAGGGTCATCCAGGAAAAACGTCATCATGGCAGCAAGAATTTGCAAGAACAAAAAGACTTGTGGTCGGGTTCAGGAAGCCATCATGAAGCCTGTGAAAGTTCTCGACCGCAGAAACAAACGTATGAACCTGGTTTTTCATATTGTCAGGTTTATTGCTGTTTCTGAATTTGTATTAGTCTAGTCTGATCATTTTTTTTCAGCAAATGAGAAGAGGCACCCTCCAAGACTAGATGATGACCTATATCGCTTAGAGGAGATTGCCAGGGATGGAGCTTACCACAGGAGGCTTCAGGAGGTGCAAATCTATAAAGTGGGGGGCTTCTTGAAGGCTTTGAATGAGGACTCCAACAAGCTTCGTGCGGTAAAGAATTCTAAATGCATTATCCTGTATGCCCCTATTTTGCAGCTATCTGTTTCATTCACATGATGTTGTTTTAAATCATGCAGATCCTCAAGATGGAAAATCAGCAAAATGCTTGGTCAAAACTGACTGAGCATGCTAGGGAGTGTGTTCTCGAAGATCGGCAAGAACTCAAATGGTACCACAGTAAAGAGGGCAACGTTGTGCTTTTCTTTAATTGCGTGCATGAGCTTGTCGGAGCAGCATTCCCACATGAGTATGTTGCATGCCAAAGATTTAACACAGCTCAGAAGGTACACACTGAACCCATGATATCACCATATTATCAATATTACTATCGTGGCCATGTTCAACAACATCTGAACTTTGTTCGTGTTGCAGGCTTTAGTGAAGAAATGGAGATTGCATGCATATGAAAAACTGAAGGGCATTTCACCTGATTTTGTAATGAAAGGCAATTTTCCTGAGCCAGTCTCTTCAAGCACAGATGTTGCTGCTGCACCTTCTGTTCTAGCAGTGGGTGCATCACAACAAGTTTTCTCTACTAATCAGCTTGCATATCAAGGTCACTCCGATATCACTTTCTAAATTCTGACTGCTCTTACATTCCTCAGTACAACTGATTGTCTGAGGCTGCAATTTCTATTTAAACCTCCAAGGAACTGGAGCAGCTGAATATTTGGCCCACAATGAACATGTAATGGGACAAATTTCCCCAGTGGCAAACTGTGGTCCCACCATTCATAATAATGGTCCAAACACACACTATTACCAAGGTACTGTGATTTAAAAAGATGAATGTTCTCTCACATTATTTTCGTGATTGTTCCCCCATTATATATTTTTTTAGAAACATTTTCCTCTTATGTCTGTCCTTTCCATGTGTTTTCTGTGTGAGTTTTTCTGATACAGTGATGTACTTACCAGGAACTGGAACAGCTGAAAATTTGCCCCAGGGCGAGCATGGAACACCTTACCCAATTGCAGACTGTGGTCCCATTGTTGCCGATCCTGATTATCTAAACACACTTTATTGCCAAGGTACTTTACTTCCAGAAATGAATTGTTCACTCTTCAAAAACATTAGCAGGTCACAGATTGTTCCCTGAGTTATTCTGATATGATGAATTTAAACTTTACACAGCTATCCTGATGAAATGATTTCTAAACTTTACAGGCCAAGGAATTCCACTGCATAGTCAGCAGCAAGTAATTTCACCTTGGCCTCAAAACCCCCAAGGCATGATGGACTTTGCTTGCCCAATTGAGGTGATGCAGATAACCACAAAACGCATCCTCTTCTTTTGCATATCCATTGCTTCACAGATGCTTTGCTCACATTCTTGAACGGCTGGGCATTCCTTTTTGCAGTTGGCGGGCATGAACTTTGACCTGTATCAGGACTCAGGTGCATCAACCTCTGCTCAAGCTCAACTTATGTTTGGGCCACGTAACCCTACTCAACCTGAATCAACCAGCCCTGCTGCTGCACCGCCATGGATGCCATCAATGGCTGAGCACGATCAGGGACCCAGCTGCTCTGGATTTCCAGGATCAGGTCACCCCAACGACTTCCAGTAAGCACACAAGCCCTGGAAAATCTTTCCAGTTTGTGTTAATTGTGTGATGTGGTACCAGTATGTTTGTGTGTCATGTGCATAGCCATTGTTTGTACCAGCATGCTGTACAGATGTATGCTTTCGTGTGTTTGGCTGTTTGCAAATGTAGGTGATGGGTTTGCTAGTCCAAACAAGACTGTGTATTGTAATGACTTTTTTTTTCTTTAAACGCCACTGAGTTTTCCCCAGGAATATATAATTGACTGAATTTCCATGTGCATTGAGAACCCACACAGTACAAAGGAAAACAGCATGACATAGCCGGAGTTTACGGCTTAAAGTCAGCTTCATCATGTGTACATTAAAAATTAACAGACTTGACTAATGGCAACTCCAAGGCATTCAATTTAGAAGCTCACTTGGGATGAAAAAGCTACACATTTGACCAAAAAAAAAGCACGCGGTTTCCCAAACACCTTGTTTATGCGGACTTGGCAGACTATACGCGGCGACGACTGTCAGGAACTTTCAGTTGGGTCGTGCAATGGACAGGAGCAGGGGCGGAGCCAGCCCTGTTCATTGATTTCCTGAGATTTTCATTGCAAATTGATGCTCATACGTGAACTTAAGCCATGACGTAGTACTTATGACATCAGTGGAATTTTGGTTGGATTCGCTACTGGACAGGAGAAGTGTTGAATTGGGCTTGTGCTGTGTGACGGACAGGAGAAGAGCTGGTCTGGGGTTGCGTTGGCCCAGGTAGGCATCCAATGCAGGGTACATGGGGACATGGGGTTGCAGCAGTTTATTTAAAAAAAAGACATGGGGTTGCAGCAGCAGCACCTACGGGAGGGACATCGAAGAACCGAACGGTGAATTGGCGGCGGCGAGCGGCAGCTCGAGGCGAGTCTCAGGGCTCGTCATACCTATCCTTTCTTCTTCTTCCTTCCCCAAAATACTTCATAGTTGTATCCGGAATCTTCTAGAAACCTTGAGAAACTATTGTTTATTGCTGTGAGTTTGATTTAGTGAAGCAATTCGATCTGGTGTGCTGTTTGTTTCGACGTATTTTATCCCGTAACCGTTTGCGCTGTTATCGATTTTCATTGCTACGTGTTTGTTTCAATGCGAGCGGAGCCGTTCACGGAGGGATCGCATCCGGGCGCGTGAAACCTCGTTACCGCCCACCTCCGGACCTTATTCGTTGACACTGCTCTCGAGCCTGGAGGGAATGGAAAATAGCATCTTAACCAACCAAACAAATAGATGCTTTTCATTGCATGCAACGGATAGGGGCGGCACCTGTTTCCATTCACGGTACCGCTCCCTGTAACCAAACAGCACCCCAGGTTCGTAAACAAATGGCATCGGAGCCGTTCACCATGCACTGCACTGGCACCGACGGGGTCGTCCCCGAGCTTCGCCGCATGAGCTTCGAGGAGGAGTACGTCTCCATGTCCGATGAGCAGAGGGATCGGATCCACGAGCAGCTGGATCAGGGTACAGCAGATGAACACCTCTCTCAACAGCACCAATGAGTCGCTGAGGAAATTCGCCACCGTGCTGACATCCACCATGCCAGGGACTATGACTTCATCTTCCACGGCGGCGTACCTTGCTGCTTCCACCAACCCAAGCAAAGAGGGCGACCCGGTCACCATCGATGCTGCCTCGACCACCAGCAAGCCAACGACGTCCTCTGCGCCTCCCGTGGCGACCACGACGACTGATCCACCTCTGAACATCTCCCTCGCCTTCCAGTTCTGCATCACCGAGCACGCCGTTGACCATGACATCACCGGCTCTGTCTTCGGCAAGCCGGCGACACCGACCACAACAATGGCATCCTCCTTGTCACCACTGTTCCCTGCCCGGCAACTGCAATTGCTGAAGGCTCCAATGAAGACACTGAAGAAACCAGAGCAGGCCGGGAACCCCGAGCCGTCAGGAAGAGAAGGCCCAACACGCTAGTCACCGGCCCAATGTGGAGTCGTTAGACAGAGAAGTACTTAAACTAGAGAGCATGAGAGGAGACGGCATGAACATTGTAATCACAAACTGAATTCTGTTAATCCTGTCCTCGCCTATCTGTTGCGTGTTCTTGCTTCCTTCCTCCCTCTACTTCTTCCTTCCCAATCTACGCTCCTGCTAACACTCCTCTACCTCGTCGACCTCTACGCTGCCCCAGGAGGTCGCCCCCACCATATCCATCGAGACTACAGAACACCTTTGGGCAACGCACGCCAGGTGTTCGATGTCGCGTCGCGACCCGGACGCCGAGATTGTGAAGGTGACCTCTTCATCGGCAGTGCCTTTGGCTTCCTCAACGTGTGTTCCATCTCTGGGTGCCCTCATCGACGCCCCTCGTGCTTCTGGCACTGAGCTCTGTGTGGTGACGCCCGCCATGTGCTTCACATGCGGTCGTGATGGCAATACATGCATTCCAGCGCCTAGGGGGTCTTCCAGACACCAATCCACTGCTCTCAGCTATCACTATGTTAGACAACAACAAGAGCTTGCAGGACATGGACTTCATCAGTTTCAGCCTGACCCCGTCCAATGGCATGGTTCTGTGCTGTCTTGGAGCTAGCAGATGCACCCACAATGTGTTCGAGGTACGCGCTGTGCTCATGGGCTGGACACGCCTCACTTGTTGTGCGACATGGGGTTTGCACAGTGCAGGTGAGCTAAGACCAATGTGGTGGTCACGCTTCTATCAAAGTAGTGGTGGTGAGCTGCCGAAGCATCCATGGCCATCACTTGAATGCAATAGACGTGTTGGATTGATGGTGCCACAACCATGGCCTCCACCTACAGCGCAGAATATTTTGAGTGATGGAGTTAAGCTACAGTTGAAACCATGGCCACCTGATCATTTAGTTTGGTTCACGATTTCATGCCATGATGGGCTAAGTGATGCTCAAGATCATAATCATATTTGGACTCATTTCTGCTATAATCTTGTGCTAGTTAAGATGTGGCAACGCAGGGTAGAAGTGGGCTTTTCACAATCAAAACTGAATTTATAAGCAACCTGACTAGCATCTAGAAGGCGATAGGAAAATTTTCTAATATGCACCAGGATATGACACTTGATCATGAGAAGCAATGGGAAAATGAGAATATGGTCTTATGCTTGAAACCATGGGCACTGTATGGGCAAGCAGGTCACATACCAGAAAGTTGAGCTCCGGCCATGGCCTTGGCCGTCTTTCAGTTGCTATCCAGCTTAAGCTCGTGCTAATGCATTGAGTTACTTTGAAGTGAGTGCAGATTTCAAGTATCACAAGTGTGAGTGCTGGCTTAATATTCATTCCATATGTGTATTGACTCGTGTAGTAGGCTGTTGGCATTTTTTGTTTGTACTGTTATCACTTAAATGGTCTACACAGCTCCTAGATCTGGTTGCAATGAGAAAGTTGTACTTCAGTTTGCATGTTCAGGAAGAGAAAGCTCTATATGTGCTGATTTGGAGGGTTCTAAATGTTAGACTGTAAATGTATATATACGTGTCTATATGGGCCTGGGCCTTGGTATAGCTGGCCGGTCCTCTATTTGATTAGAGAGATATGAGGAGATCTCGGTTTGGTCCTGTTTCTATAAACCACGAGATCTCATCTCCCCTATATATATATATATACATAGGTCTCTCCAATCAATTAATATATTATTCCACGCAATCTTTCATGGTATCACGATTCCAGGTTAGTCCCGATTCATTTTCTTCCGTATCTTAGCGCGCCGCCGGCGCTGCTCCAGCGCGCCCCTACCCGGCGCCGCTCCTAGCGCGTGCGTGCGCCCGCCGCCTCCCTGCCATGGCCGGCGCCACCCCCACCACCGCTTCCTCTGCTGCTGCTGTCGTCGATCCTGACGCCGCTGCTGCCGAGTCCAAGGAGAAGCGCGCCCGCGCGGCCCCACAGGCTGACCCCGCTGCTGCCGCTGCCCTCCAGTCCACGGATCCGCGCGGCCGAGCAGGCCTCCGCTGCCGCCGCCCTCCAGTCCATGGAGGCGCGCGCCCGCGCGGCCGAGCAGGCCGCTGCGGCTCGACTCGCCAAGGAGGAGCGCGCCCGCACGGCTCAGGGCGCTCGCGACGCCGCCGCTGCTCGTGCGGCTAACGCCGAGCGCGAAGCCGCCGTCGCTCAGCAGGAGCGGGACGCGGCTGATGCGCGACTTCAGACCGTCCTTGACCGCGCGGCTCAGGAGCTCGCCGGGGCCGCTCCGCCTCTGGAAGACGACGCTGCCCCTGACGACGCCGAGGATGCTGAGGATTTCGCCTCTGCCGACGACGGCGATCCCCATCTTCGCGCCGTTCTGCTTCAGCACGAGGCTGCGGCCCTCCTCAACCTGCACGCCTAGGCTGTGGCCGTGCAGAACATCCGGCTGCTCGTCCCTCTTGTCCTCGACGTCGCCTCCGCCTTCTATGGCCGCTAACGTCAGTCGTTCCTCCTCGTCGTCGGCCGCTACTCCCTAGAGAGCCATGTCCTCTCCGAAGCTGCCGCCCCCAACTCTCCGGATTGGGCGTGCATGGACTGCGTCGTGCAAACTTGGATCACCGGCACCATCACCGACGCCCTCGCCGAGGCCGTGATCAAGTTCGGCACCACCGCCCGCGCCTCCTGGCTCGCCATCGAGTCACAGTTATGCGGCAATCGCGAAACTCATGCTCTCCACCTCGACGCCGCCTTCCGCAACTTCAAGCAAGGCGACCTCGACATCACTGCGTACTGCCGAAAAGTCAAGGGCATGGTAGACGCCCTCCGCGACTTCGGCGAGCCCGTCAACGACAGGACTCTTGTCCTCAATCTCCTGCACAGTCTCAATGGCCGTTTCGAAGCCATTGGGCTTCACCTTCGCCGCGGACGTCCGTTTCCTACTTTTCTGCAGGCCCGCAACGATTTGCTCCTGGAGGAACTCACTATGGCGGAGTCTGCTCCGCCTCCTTCGGCTATAGCCCTGACTGCCACCTCCGACAGCGCTCGGTCGCCTGCGCCCGCGTCCGTCACTCCACCAGCCACTCCCCAG